ACGGCCGGGAAGAATTGAGTCAGTTTTCTCTGCTGATCCTCTGTTTTTTTCCTCCTCGGCATATCTGCGGAGGGTCGGGCACCTTATGTAGTCGGTGCGGTGTCACTCTGGTGTCCCAGGGCCGGTTTGTGCTGCTGTGTGGCTGGCGGGTGGACGGAGCTTTCTTACTGCACGTCCACCTTCATAGCTGGCCGTGCATGCACCCGTATATCATTTTTTAACTTTACACATTTCTATAAAACTACCCACCTAGGGATATTGATTGAATTAGTGGTTAGTGCCTTCTGTGTACTTAAGCAAGGAATCCATACTCCTAGAAATACTGTTGCATTATATTACTAGTGTCTGTATGCTCAGTATACTGTAAATTTGTTGTTGATCTGTATGAAACTGCATCTTGTGGCTGCAAACTGCATGTAGATTAGTGCCCATGCATAAACTAGCAGATCTGCTAGACAGGAATCTATGCGTAGTTGCCTAGAATACTAGTCAGCTGACAAACTCCAGGGCATCTGTTTAGTGAACATGTCTGCATGTGGCAGTGGGAAAACAGATAATACAATAATTCTAGCTTGAGGAATCTCAGAAATGTGTGGCAATCACTTGGTTGCTCCACAGCCTTTAGAGTACACCAGACCGTATGCAAGATTTTTATCTGCCTGTATGTGTCCAGCCAGCAAGACTTTGGGTGAGTTTCTCCAGTGGGCTGTTGTATTTCAGGTTATGATAACTGTATGACAACTGGTTTTACCTTATTAAGGTACACTCCCAACAAGGTGCGTGCCTAGGTTAGTGAGTTGCTGTGGGCATGCATCCTTGGCATCCTATGGCAACGGAGGGAAATTAGAGTGTGCCTTCTGTTTACAGTTGTTACCTGTGTCCCGATTGGGTTGCCTTGACAATCTGCCAACATGTTGGTTGCTTTCTGAGGATGCTGCTATCATTCAACCTACCTTGTCCCTTTACTCTCTGTGCCCCTGTTCATGATAACATTCATCTTAAAGTAAACTTGTATTTCTGCACACAAAAACTAAGAATAGCATTTAATAGAAAGCACCGTATGGTGCCTAAGTATGACTTTAAATCTCCATCTTCCCAAACACCTGAATTTTTAAGAATTGAGAGAATGGGCACATTTCCCAAAACTATTTACACTTACCTTTTCTTTTGTCCTCCACCTTTAGGGTACTTCCACATGTTACTTACATATGGAAATACTGTGGGTGAACTCCAGAAAATGCCACATCCCTATTTTCTAAATAGAATATATTGCTAAAGCCCCTATGGGACTTTTTAGGCACTCATTTCACGACTTTATGTACACAAATTTAAAAGTGTGAAAACCACAAATATATACATATTTTTATTACATTACCCCTTTTTTATAAAAAAAAATGTATGTAATATTCAGTTTATTTATACAATTTTAAAGGGGTGAAAACCAGAAATGTATACAGATTTTTTTTTACATTACATCATACGTAGAGTATACAACACAGCTTGTCATAAATGGTATGGTAGATATGACGTGTTTCTATTCATCCAATGCGTTTCAGAAATACGCAACTGCTTCCTCAGGGAATTTCATATCCCTATAATGCAAATGTACAGATTGCAAACAGAAAACCATATATCTTATTTCATACACAAATTGTAATAAATTACATATATCTGCTGCTCACAAAAATGACAATTATTGCATGCAGAAAAAGCCTCAATGTACTGTATAATTTAGCCTCACCCCCAGGGTTAAATGAGGCAGTGAGTTTTAAGCCAACCTTGGTGCTATAATAATTTATTTTACTATGTATGAAACACGATATATGGTTTTGTGTTTACAATCTGTACAAATGCATTATGGAGATGTGGAAGTCCTGATACCCCTAAGAGGAGTTCTGTGTCTCTGAAACGTGCCGGATGAATGGAAACATATCATATGTACCATACCGTTTATGACAAGTTGTGTTGTACACCCTGTGTATGATGTAATGTAAAAAAAAATCTGTATACATTTCTGGTTTTCACCCCTTTAAAATTGTATAAATAAACTGAATATTACATTTTTTTTTTTATAAAATTTGTGATATGAGCACCTAAAACATCCCATAGGGGTTTAGCAATATATTTATGTTATTGATGCATGAACATCAGATTCCTGGTGCAAAATTTCTGCATTAAGACGCGAGGATGGGCAGTATAGTAAATGCATGTATATGCGCAAAAGTGCAAAAAATTCTTCTAGTTTTTGTTGGGACATGTTATATAAGTATAGGTTTGGAAAAAACTTTCCAGCAATGCAAATGTTTTAGTTTTTTTTTTTACTGATCTATACGAAGTGCATGTTACAGGAACATTGAAACCAGTGGAGTGCATTTACACAAAATAACACACAGGCATCAGTGTGCAAGAGACCTTGCAGTCGCATAGAGGGTTACATACACTTTGCTTTCAGGAACGAAGGTCTATGACTGGCTCTCAATTCTCCCACATATATTTATGATATTTCCAGTAAGGATGACAAATGGCTAAATAATGATTGTAAATTACTGAATTATGATGATTGGGTATTGTTGTTCCTTAAGAGCACTGTCATTACATCTTTGCGGCTCAGCCATTCAAGCAGGTGGAGCGCGCAAATCCTGAAGGAAGTGACAGCACACCAGTCAATGGAGTGCTTTGTTTTAATGTCTTCTAAGTCTTCCAATGCATACTAGCATATTATGCCCTTAACTTGCAGGGTGAAGTTTTTTTTTTGTTTTTCTAGACTTCACTGCCGTTTTTACACACTTAATTATGAAATGGATTATATATATATATATATATATATATAATATATATATATATATATACATATACATCAAGTTGTAAAAACTCCCTAAAGCAAATCAGATAGGAGGGTTCTGCAGGAAGGAGTCTGAAGATAACAGACTCCTGTGAGACTCAGTTTCTAAGGAAACCATTTTATGTTTACTGACTATGAGACAGGGCAAACATTTTGTGAATGCCAACTATAACTGATGTGACATGATCATTAGAAGCTACATTAGATAACATGATCAGCAAATTAAGCTAGTAATTTTAGTCGGCTCCAAATTCTGTCAGTATCACAGCAACTGAGAAACCAAATCACTGGATTTGTGTATGCTTTCTTGTATACATGCTCATACATATAAATCACAATGAATATGAATTTATGCACACCACCATTATAACTGTAAGTACAAACACCCATGATTGTGTAATATATACATTAAAGCTGAACTCCAGAAATTATAAATTTGCATACTTAAATTTGGCCAGCTTAGCTCAATGTAAGTATCCATGGTATCAGGAATGCGTCTGGCGATGCTGTAAAGTCACTGTAATTGTCCACACTAAATACAGTAAAGGGAAACTCATACAAATGAGTGTAGAGATGCCAGTCCAGGTGGAAACATGTGAACAGTTAATCGTGAACTCACCACTGCTGCCTTGTTAATCATTAGCATGATAAAGAGAACTGAAAAGAATGGGTGCTGTGGAAAATGCTCTCAGTCAAGCACCTTAACCCCCCTGACGCTATTCCCGAGTGTAGCTAGAGGTTAATTCAGTGCCAAAAGCGGTAACCCCGAGCTACACTCGGGATTACCCTGCAGCATTGCTCTGGGATTCCCTTGATCACTTACCTTGTCCCCTGCAGTGTCCCCTGCCATCTCCTCTGGCCGTCTTCCTTGTTCCGGTCCCTGCAAGCGTCGGGACATAGGGGGGCCGGAACCAGCAGGAAATTTCAAAATTTTAAAAAGTGACATTCACTAATACACTAATCACATAGTAAAACATTACTGTTTCAAAATATTTCACATACATTTTGTCCCTACTGCTTTGTCCTGTGCCCTGCCTGCCTTTTTTCTGTTCTTTTTGCCTGGAAACTGAGAAAAGTACATGGCGTTCAAAAAGCGTCCCTTTATTTCAAAAGCATTTTTAGACCAGCTAGAATACAGAGAATGTAAATCAGAACCACTTGCTGAATTGAGTGATAATGATTTGTGGGGAAATTTGTCATCAGACACTGAAAACGATTTTGCAACTAAGCTCAGTGATGTGCGAACTTGGCGCTATATTTCAAAATTCAGTGTTTTTGGTTTGATTATATTATTGAATTATTTTATATGATTATTTATTATATTATAATTTATGATTTCGTGTGTCAGGGCTCTGGGTATGACCAGAGGTGTGTGGACCGACACAGGGAAACACAGACTTCAGGTATAGCGTGTAAAACAATATAATTTATTAAGGCAACACAGACATAAAACGCAGTGCAACAAACCAAACCCAAAACTAACACAAATACATACAACAAGGTGCAAGAAACCCAAACCTTAACTGAATAATATATATATATATATATATATATATATATATATATATATATATATATATATATAAATATGGAGCACAACGTAGTCAGGTGGGCCGGTTCGGTAGCAAACGGGCAGACAAGGTACAAGGAGTAGGCAGAAGATTGGTCAGGAGTAACCGAGGTCGGTGCAGGCAGAGTTCAAGCAGAGTCAGGATCAAGCAGAGTCAGGATCAGGCAGGAAGCAGACAGGATGCAGGTACAGGGGCTCATGGGAACAATACACCAAGGCCCTGACTGCAGGCCTGGCCATTCCTTAAATACACCTCCTGCAATCAGCCTCAGGTGATGGCTTGATTGCAGGAGTGAGCTTCTGGCTGCTGAAAGCACCCACTGGCCAGCCCTGGTACTGCAGCCCACAAGGCAGGTGAGTCCCACCACCATTGGCGAGTCCATTCCTGACAGTACCCCCCCCCCAAGGAGCGGCCTCAGGACGCTCCAAACAGTCCGTAATGGCACATCGGGCAGAGGCACATCAGGCTGGGCAGCAGGCAGAGGCACAGCGGGCAGAGGCACATCGGGCTGGGCAGCGGACAAAGGCACATCGGGCTGGGCAGCAGACAGAGGCACATCGGGCTGGGCAGCAGACAGAGGCACATCGGGCTGGGCAGCAGACAGAGGCACATCGGGCTGGGCAGCAGACAGAGGCACATCGGGCTGGGCAGCAGACAGAGGCACATCGGGCTGGGCAGCAGACTGAGGCACATCGGGCTGGGCAGCGGACAGAGGCACATCGGGCGGAAGCAGCGGGCACCGGGCCATCAGGCGAGGCAGCGGGCACCGGGCCATCAGGCGAGGCAGCGGGCACCGGGCATCAGGCGGAGCAGCCGGCACCGGGCATCTGGCACGACAGCGGGCACCGGGTCATCTGGCACTACAGCAGGACACCGGGTCATCTGGCACGACAGTGGACACCGAGTCATCTGGCAGGATAGCGGGCACCGAGTCATCTGACAGAATAGCGGGCACCGGGTCACCAAGCTCGACAGCGGGCACCGAGTCATCTGGCACAACAGTGGGCACCAAGTCATCTGGCACGACAGCGGGCACCAAGTCATCTGGCACGACAGCAGGCACCAAGTCATCAGACAGGACAGACAAGACAGCGGGCACCGGGGCATCAGGCTGGACCGCGGGCACCGGGTCATCAGGCTAGATCGGGTCATCGGGCTGGGCAGGATCATCAGGCTGAGTAGCGTACACTGGGTCATCAGGCATCCGGGAATCGGGGGCACCAGGCTGGATAACAGAAGGCGGGTTCTCAGACCGCAGGCTGACCGGTTTGGATACTGGCAGGATGGTACTGGTTGGAAAGAATTTTCGCTTCTTGGTTTTAGTTACTGGAGCACTGAAATTAAACGCAGGTCATGTGGTAGATAGCAGGGTATACTGGGCTGTCACTGGGGGTGCTATGGGAAATGGAGGAAGAGAGCTTTGAGCAGAGGAGTGATCAGAAGCAGGACGGGGTTGTTGCAAGCTGACTGAGGCTGGGTGTAACAAATCTGACCATGTCTGCAGTACTGGTTGAACAAAGCTCAGCTTACACACAGCCTGTCTGACCAAAGACTGCACTGCGTTTATGCAATCCACTAGCACCTGTTGTGAACATACTGAATAATGCTCCAAGAAGCAATCCGGATAATCCTCCAATAACCATACCAGTGACTCTGCTTGGTCTGCACTAAACGGCAGCAAAAAGTCATCCCTGCTTTCAGGGGTACTAGATGAATCCAACTCCGCACAAGCCTGAATCAATGCTTGCACCTCAGAGAACTTCGTGCCCTGATCTACTAGGGAATGAGCGACCCGTATGCACTCTAGCAGCTGATCCCTGGTATACTCCTTCAGAGCCTGATAGGCATAATCTCTGTCATCTAAGACTAGCAGATAAAAGTACACAACCTCCTCAGGATGCATCCTTCCCAACAACAAGCCAAGATGGCTTCCCTGTGCAGCCACTTCTGGTCAGGACTGACCTTGGTGTAATGTCAGGGCTCCGGGTATGACCAGAGGTGTGTGGACCGACACAGGGAAACACAGACTTCAGGTATAGTGTGTAAAACAATATAATTGATTAAGGCAACACAGACATAAACGCAGTGCAACAAACTAAACCCAAAACTAACACAAATACGTACAACAAGGTGCAACAAACCCAAACCTTAACTGATATATATTTATAAATATGGAGCACAACATAGTCAGGCGGGCCAGGTCGATAGCAAATGGGCAGACAACGTATGAGGAGTAGGCATAAGATTGGTCAGGAGTAGCCGAGGTCGGTGCAGGCAGAGTTCAAGCAGAGTCAGGATCAAGCAGAGTCAGGATCAGGCAGGAAGCAGACAGGATGCAGGTACAGGGACTCATGGGAACAATACACCAAGGCCCTGACTGCAGGCCTGACCATTCCTTAAATACACCTCCTGCATTCAGCCTCAGGTGATGGCTTGATTGCAGGAGTGAGCTTCTGGCTACCAAGAGCACCCGATGGCCAGCCCTGGTACTGCAGCCCACAAGGCAGGTGAGTCCCACCACCATTGGCGAGTCCATTCCTGACATCGTGTTTCAAATTTTATCATACTAGACTCTTGTTTGGACAGTCTCACTTGACAAAGCGCAACTGCGTGAAACATGTCGTCTTGGTAACCCTGCATACGCTCACAGCTGAAGCTGATGCCGGACACTGCCTTCCGCCCTTCGCTTCCTGTGATGACGCCACCCGGGACACCGGTACGCTGACAACATGTGATTCGTAGCCGACAGGAGCGTTCTCCGATCTCTGCTCCCTTCAGAGTGGACGGGCCGTCCATTGGAGTCACACTGTTCACTTCACTTCAAGCTGGTCAAATTTTATTATATTTGCTACTATGTCTCACTGAATAAAGATGCACCTTCATTAAGGTGCTTGACTGAGAGCATTTTCCACAGCGCTTAATTATGCAGTTCACTAAATAAAGTAAGCTTCCAGGCTCTGTTCGAATGACTTCCCCTCTACATACTGAACACAGGGGGTCACTTTCACCATTCAAAGAACAACTTCTATTTTTTCATATAATACAAGGCATTCTATAATCACCCAAGGCAGAGATCATGACAGTACTGACCCCCCCCCCCCCCCCCTCTCCACCTCATCCAATCAAAGAACACCTTGTAAACAATTAAAAAAATAGAAGTCATTCTATGAATGATGAAGGTGATGAGCAAGCAAAATAGCTTTGTTTGCAGTTGCACATATGCCTGCAATAAACTCAGAGTCACTTACTTTCTTTGTCATAGACTACTACTTTAGCTATTACAGAGCAGAAACCGTTTCCATGTGTTTTCATATTGCTACAGGACTGTGCTTTTCAGTGTAACAGTCATGTATATCTGTTTCAGGTGTTCCTGTTCAGGGCACTGGAATCATCCCAGCAAACCAACTTGGTTGTGATTGACAAATGATAGTTATTATACCAATACACTGTGATACTTTAATGGTTAACATGCCCATATTTGTGATACCTAATATTAGACTGTGATATCCTAATATTACTCCATGTGTTGTTTTTTATTTTAATTAATTTTTCAGCGTGCTAAATAGTAATCAAGTGGATACTGTCATCTGTTACTGTTGTTTGAACATAGAACATTTAGAGAATTGTTGTTAAACAACTGTGGGACTGTTTCAAAACATTGGTTCCATTGTGATGCATAATATTACATGAACAGTTTCTTATACTGTATAGTCATTATTGCAGATCTACCAGGCTAAAGTTGTCATTGGGCTTTTTGGTTTACATGCAAATATTTGAGTTTGCAGGGACATCACTAGCATGGGGGCACCCAGAGCACATGCCTTGCATCTGTTGGTGAGTGGCCACAGTAAGTGGCCACAGTCCTGACATTGCAACCTCCCACATATTTTTTTCTTAATTCACTTTTCATCTGCCAGCCCACCCAGTGCCCATCAGACAAATATAAGCTGTTGGTGGATGCAGAGGTGAGCTGTGGATGGGGGGAGGGGCACAGAAGTGAGCAGTAGAAAGGGGTTGCGGTGTTATGCAGAGGCCGCGGGGGGATTGTACAGAGGTAAGTGCTGTGGAAGAATAGATTATATAGAGGTAAAAAAGTGTGCGGTGTGGTGGGGGGGGGGGGGGGGGGTTGTGCAGAGCTGAGAGTTGTGTGTATATGAGGGAAAATGTGCAGAGGTGAAAGCTGTGAGAACTGTGCAGAGGTGAGAGCTGTGGAGGAGGGTTGTGCAGAAGTGAGAGCTGTGGATGGAGGGGATTTTGTATAAGTGAAGAACCATTGTTTTCCTGCAGAGTGCAGAGGTGAGAGCTGTGGATTTGGTTGAGATGGCATGCAGCAGTAAAATGTGGGAAGGAGAACAAATTTAAGCTGTGGGAGGATGCAAAGGTGAGTTGAAGATGGGGGGTGCACAGGTAAGGTATGGAAGGAGTAGTTGTAGTTTTTGTGTGCAGAAAAGCTTGGAAGAGTTTCAGTTTTTTAGGTGTTTAAGTTTATATGTATCTATGGGATTCTCACTTGTAGCACAATAATTAAAGCATATGTTGTGGGTATAAGGAATGTGCCATATGTGTACCATATGTGTGCTATGGCCACAGTGAGTAGGACCAGGTTGCATTTAAGTATGCCTTTTTAACTGTTGGGCGCAGTGAGGTGTGTCCAGAGGTGCACAATCCTAGCAGTGCCCTTGGTAGTATGCATACTTGATTTTTTATATTTGCTCAGGCCTTAATATGTTTGTATTTTATGTACAGCCTTGTCTTTGCAATCGTTAGAAATCATTTATTGACTGCTAAAAGTAAGGTTTTATTCTATTTACATACTGTGCTCCTAGTTCTCTTTTTCTCCCTATACTCCTATAGATTTATTTTTTTTATTTTGAAACTTGAAATAGTCAACTGAGTTGGAAAGTATATTGCTTTCATAATATGTATTTGGAATATATTTGTGTTGTTAGGAAACAAGGAATAAATACATAGAGATTTTCAGTTTTAGCCTGTCTGCAATGTGTTTGTTTTCTCCACCTGTTTCAGCAGTTAGCTATCTCCTACCTTCCTCCACTGAGACTCCTTTTTATTTTTCTCTCTCCCTCGGTTATGCTTCTGGATGGTGATACCCTACTGTTTCTTCCTATCTATGCTGACATTTCAGGCTTACTCTCTGCCTTAGAAGGAGGACATAATATAATAGATCCAGTGGGAAGAGAAAAGAAAAGATATAAAGGGAACAGCTGATCTTTCCTCAGCACTGAGTTCAGGTTCATGCATTCTGTTTTGTCCTAAACACTGATACAATAGATACCTTTCAGAGGCATTATCACAATCCCCACAGGGGAGAGCATGGAGAGGGGGCTCAAGTCTTTCTTGTACCTGAAATACTCCCCTTTCTCTGGCAGAATTGTTTTTACAGAGCAGAAGGAGAGCCATTTTGATGGTCAGAAGCATTTTAACTAGTTCTGCACCATTTTCTGTCCTGCAGCTGGGAATGATAGCAGTAACCTGCAAGCAGACATCAGTGTATACAGCGTTCTACTTGAAGATGTGAAGCTTAGTAACGCATGCTGATGTTCGCTTTATTATTATATTTTTTTTTGTGTGTGTTTGTATTTTATAATGAAACCTAATCCACCACATTTTACCTTTTAGAAACATAAATTATGTAATTTAAAGTTGTTTACGTAGGTTGAAATTTAGCAGTTTGATGTGTCAGGAGTGACTTTTGGGGGTGGGGGGACCCCTGGCTCAGCTCCTCCTTTTCCTCTTATGTATAAGGCACCCTGTGCCTGTTAGGGGTACAGGGTGAAATGTTCTAATATTGGTGTGGGGATTGTTCATTGTTCTCTGCCATGCAGCTGCATCCCATTGTTCTAGCAAACTATTATGAGATGTAATGTTTGTGTATTGGTGTGGTGGTTGTTCATTGTTCACTGCCATGTGGTCCCATTGTTCTATTATGTGTTTGTGTATTGACTTGGTGGGGGGTGTGTCCAGCAGCCCTCCTGATGGGGCTGTCTGTTGGGATGTATCTCTGGTTGCTAAATTTGGTTTGCCCCGCCCTGTGTCCTTATGCAGGGAGG